TCGCACGTTTAGCCGGTCAGTGTATCCTTGGATATCGGTAGTGAGACGCGAGGCTGAAGGCATCACCTCCGGAGGGTGAGAAGCGAAAGCAACCCCAAAAACTACCACTGAGTAGCTTAGAGAATTGAATGGCTTTTGAAATACCTTATTTATATCATTCGGGCTCGAGTCTCATGTTGCGCCAAATTGGACGGCTTAATCAGTGGCATTCAGTATGAAATTCTCTCGACCGTTGCTTTGGTCCAACGACTAGCAGTGGTGCGCACTCGGTAGCAGCCGTCCCAAACCACGCGAGTGAGTCCTTCGAGCATGCGCGTTTTGGCCTAAGACGTGAATTGTGAAGCAGTCCAGAATTGCTGGGATGCCTACAAGTTAAGCAGAAAAAGTGGGAAAACTGTGAAGCCTAGGCATCCCAGAAAATGCTCCATAAAGCCTTCTAGTGCTGTTCCAGCACTACAACGTTTTATGAAGCATTTTCTGGAATGCGACCATATTTCAAAAATACAGTACTTAGGAAAAAATAAGTGCATATAAGTGCATATTTCCCAACACATATGTCCGAAAACTAGGTTTCTATCCGGAACTGCGAAATGTACTTTGAGTTTCATGGATATTTCCACTGTGTTCCACAACCCAAACGGCTTCAATTATGGGACGAACTGAGTGAATTTATTTTCCCCTGGGAATCGGTGTGTTGGGTTGGCTAAAAAAAATTGCGGGCCTATTTTCCTGATCCTAACTTCTCTGTTTGTAACGAATCCGATGGTTCCGGACCCACGAAATCTTTTACTAGATTAAGTTCTCATAGAAATGGAGTGTATGAGCTCGAAGGGCAAATTTTATATTTCGGCAGAACTTTAATATTTTTTCGAAACAAATTTGCTTGGTACTTCCAAACGAAACCAGTTTGAGAGACTCATCATAGAATGCTCCACTGCGGCCCTATAACAAAATTCGCGAGATGCGCGAGGAGTCAAATCAGCAACAGGACTCATCCAACAGGATATTCAGCCGACTATCTCACAAGAGCAGTCAGCAGTAAACCGATCCTTCAATAAAATAAGTGAGGAAGAAAGCGTAAGAACGCAGACAACGTAAGAATTTTGGTAGAGGGATCCCACGCCTTTTAAGTTCGCCACCTAACACAAAGCTTACTGCTATGCCATACTAGCATCTTTCGACTGTCTGAAAGTAAAAGAAAAATGCAGAGCTCTGACTCTGTTACCCTAGAAATGCGCAAAAAGTAGAGCCCACGTCTGAATGCCTTACTACCAGGTGGCTGGGGGATAGAAGGCAGCAAAAACTTCCTCCATTCTGTATAATATTGAAAAGCATTACCGAAAGTAGAGAAGACATTTTGGAACTCATCGTGGCAGGTGGCGGTGTACTGTATAGCGCGCGATGGGGAGGAGAGGGAGTCAAATCCTGGGAAAGCTCCTGCCCATGCCAACAAACTTCTACCTTCTGAAGACGAATAATTGGTACCAGTTTTGTCCGGGAGGAAAAGAGGGCAAGAACACTGACTTGTAAAGCAGCTGGCCCTCGCAGTTATTTGTATAGTCCACATCGCCTCATAAGTCGCTAGGGTTCTGAATAGAAGCAGAATGCGTGCCGCATCCCAAAAGATTGGTCAACACCAGAGACTTTATGCTTTTAGTCTTTATTTCTATTATAACTTATCTGTTTCGAATTCTATCACATGGAAATTTGATACCAATTTATTCAGTTAGAAGAGCTGGACGAAATCTGACGAGCTCGGGAATGACGTTTGCAGACATTTCAGAGAAGGATAGCATAGTCAGATCCCGTCAGTAATCCTTCAGCCTTGCATTAGCTGATCCGAGGGAAGACTGATGACCACATTGAGCGGAAAACGATTACAGGGCAAAATAAATGAGCTTTGAAAAAAGCCTATCATGCTTCACGCGGGTTACAATTGGTGTAAGCCAGCCGCAAGTTATTGTGTTGCCAAATCTCTTCCAAGGTGTCTTTGAGATTCCCATAAGGGATACGTGATCTATCCCAGAAAGGGGTT